CATAGTTGGGGGCTAACTGTCCTAAAAGTTTAAACTTGAAGAGGAACAATGGATTTTGGTGAATCCAATGGGCTAATAGGTATGAAAATTTTAAAGATGGCCTCGCTTATTAGAGTTTGAATGAACCAAATTCTTAATATTTTACATTTTCAAAAGCCAAAAGATATTATACTCCCTTCGAAGTATACTAACCATTTACTACCTCAGGTAAAACCCCACTTAAGATTAATTTTAGGATCTCAAATTTTGGGGATATACCCTTTTCAACACTAACCTAGAGGGCTTTCCTTTATTTTTATTTTTTTTTATTTTTTTCATGTAAAGATTTAAGGAAGAAAATAAGCTATTTTCAAAAGGAGCTAGTTCGGATATTTATTTTAGATTTTTATGCAAGATATAGTTTCTATTTTTGTGGGGATTGAGTTGTTAAAATTCTAACTCGGATTAATTTTAGGAACCCAAATTTGGAGGATATACCCTCTTCAACAGTAGTGCAATTCTTTTTTTCTCCTAGATTTCATGTTCCAACTGTCCCAAATGTGGAGCAGGAAGTGGAACCTCGCTTGGTGATGTTTTGTCTTTTCTTCCTAGTAGAGATTTAAGGGACAAAATGGAAAATTTTCTAAAGGTGTTAGAATATTTATTTTAGATTTTTATTTAATGTATAGTTTCTATTTTTGTGAGAGTTGAGTTGTTATCTCTTAAATGATTGATAAGGCGTTAAGAAGTAAAAAAAAAAGAAAGATATTTACATTGGATTAGGATAAGGGTGATAGATTTTTAGAGAGAGGGATAGAGACAAAAAGTGGCAAAGAGAGATTCTTGTGTAATTTTTTATTTTATTCAATTATGAGCATTTGGCTCTTGTTCTTTTAATTTTACCAAACACGCCCAATGACCACACAATCCATTAAAAAATTGCAGTGGGCATCTCCGACCCTATCAGGAGGTAACGTTGCGCTATACACATGTACCTTAAGATTTTAAAACTCAACCGGCTTAAAACTCAACTGGCTACTCATCATGCTTAGTTTGAGTACCACACTTACACTAAAGTTCATTAATTGTTCGACTAATGTAAAATTTGTTACATGCCTTCTAATGGTTGGATGAACCGAAGACCTTTTGGGGACCGGTGAACCTTGTCACTCCGAGTCATGCATTTTCTTAAAGTTGAATGATTCTGCCAAGGGCGACATTGAAGCGATGGAGGTAGTGAAGTATGGGTCGCGTCGTATTTACATCTCTCATCCCTTTTCCTGAGCTGTCCTGATAAATTTTCCAAGACAAAAAGTGATGCTCAATGGTCATTAAAGGTTCACCCCTACATTTAGAGATGCCAACAGTAACTGCCGTGTACAGTCTAGCCGACAGTAACTCCTCCCCCTTCCTAGGGAGACAAACAGGACACATTTTCTTGGTTGGTTTCTGACCGTCCCATATGACCCATGCCTACCTGACGAGATGAAGGAGTAACAATTGGGCTTTATTGACTCCATAAAAAAAAGAAAAGAAAAAACTAAGGGCACATGGCACGAAAGGGGAAATGACTCCCATGGAAACTTCCAAATAAAAGAGGAAGGAGGGAGGGAAGGGGGATCCCCTCTCAAATCCATACAGACCCAAGCCTATCTATCCCCTATCAAGTCCATATGGACACCCTCTGAAGTCCATATGAACCCTAAGCAATCCCTTCTCAAGTTCACATGGACTTAGGTGATCCCCTCTCAAGTCCATATGGACGTGAGGCCACCCCCTCTCAACTCCATATGAACTTTGGGCCACCCCTCTCAAGCCACCTTGGGCCACCCCCTCTCAAGCCCACATGAACCCTAGACAACCCCTCTCAAGCCCAGGTACAGACCCAAGCCACCCACTATCAAGTCCATATGAACCCTAAAGCAACCGCCTCTCAAGCCCATATGATCCCTAGGCGACCTCCTCTAAAGCTCGGGTACAGACCTAGGCAACCGTCTCAGATCCAAATAAACTCGGGGCTATCGCCTACGGACTTAGGGCTACCTCTCTCAAGTCCATATAAGCCTGGGGCCACCTCCTCTCAAGTCCATGTGAACCTGGCGGCAACCCACTCTCACGTCCACATAAACCCAAGGCAAACCCTTCTCAAGCTTGGGAGGTAGTGGCCGAGATTTATATGGATCTGTGGACTTTTAAAGGAATATCCATTCCCAACCTTTGATCAGGCTCGAATATGGCACCAGTTGCAACACTACTCTCAATTCCCTGGTTTCAGCATCTATCTGGCCTTCAAGCTTACTCAAGCATAGAAAACATCAGTTGAAGAGAGAGAATCTCTCCCTTACTCACCATGAGAGCAGCTTTTTCTTCTCTCTCTAAAAATTAAATTGTTTTGTTTAAAAAAGAATTTAAAAAAAATAATACAGTACGTGACATGATTGGGTCCATTCATAATGAAAGATCGGATAGGGAAAAATATAACAGTTTTATACTGACAAGCATAAAATGATTGCCGCTTTTTAGAAACCCTCACTCAAATCGAAAAACTTAAAAATAAAATAGTACAATGGGTGACATGATTGGGTCTATTCGGAATGAACGATTGGATAAGGAGAGATATAAAATTTGTCTACCGACAAGCGTAGAAAGCTTGCCCCTTTTTAGAAACCCTCACTCAAATCGCTTTCGCTCAAAGGTCGAAACGCGTACCCAACTCACCGTTGATCTCTTTCTCTCTCTAAAACCCCTCACCCAAATCACCTTTGATCCCTCTCTCTCTCTCTCAACGCCGTTAGCCAACTTACCGTTGATTTCTCTCTCTAAAAGCCCTCAACTCACCGTTGAGTCTTTCTTCCTCTCACTACCGACCGTAGATATCCCGCTCTTCTTATCAGTCGCGGTGGTACTCTCATTCCCCTTTCTCGTTCATGGTACCACACGCACACTCTCTCTCTCTCTCTCAAAATCCTCTCAGTGCCGCACTCAAGAATCCCTCCCACCGTGGGCCTAAAATCTGGGCTTCCGTCATCCGACCTCGGGCAGCCAACTATGGCACGCACGAAAATTTTTAGTGCCTCCCAAAAATATTTAAGCTCTTAAAATTGTCATAAGAATGATAATGACTTATTTATGTACGGATTTTAAAATTTTAAATAAAATACAAAATGCTTCATTTATATGCGAAAATTAATAAAAAGAGTT